GGTCATTTCGGCCCCCACCCTTCTCCACATGTTGTTGGCGGGATTAACTGCAAATGATCTATTTCCCCTTCTTTTCAGCTTTTTTCGGTCCCTTTTAGCTCTCCTTTTTTCCTTTTCCTTCTTTCTCTCTTTTTTTTTTAGCGGGGCAGGGGAGGCAAGGGCATTTTGCCCCATCCCCGCCCCGATCCACAACTTGTTGGCGGAAAAATTGCAACTGATACCCCCTTCTTTCTATTTCCTTCCTTCTCTCTTATTTTTTTGATTGGGGGGGGGGGGGGGGAGAGAGGGGGAGGCGAGGCTCTTTCGCCCCCCCGATCACTTCTTTCCCCTTTTCTTTTCTTCTTCCTCTTCTTTCTTTCCCTTTCTCTCCTCTTTCCCTTCTTTTCCTTTTCTCTTTCTCTTTCTTTTTTTGTCCTCTTTTTCCCCCCTTTTTTTTTCCTGATTTCTTTCCCTTCTTTTTTTTCCTTCTTTTTTGTTTCCCTTCTTTTTTTTCCTTCTTTTTTCCCCAGGGGAGGGCGCCCGGGCCCCCTGGATCCGCCACTGCGGCCAGGCACTAGTGTAGGAAAACTTCAAATGTTAATCAGTTATATGATAAAATAACTTGTCTGTGGCCTCACGAAAAAGTATATATTTAGTCAGGCCTAAATTGAGTTGCAAAACAATTATTTCGTTAAAATGAAAAAACATATTTGATGACATTCGCAATACCACAATTGCCGATACGATTGGATTACTCGTGTTTGTTCTTTTTCAAAACTTACTTGCTGAGCCCCATGAAACTCAGGGATTTGAGTCATTTTATAACGGTCAGATAAGCATTCAGGGGCACACCTTAAGCCCCCGGAGGCTCAGGGGTTTAAGGCATTAAATTACGGTCAAATGAGCATATTTTTATACCTTATTTGTGACACTGGCAAGGTCACTAATTGCGTGGGGTCCAGGGGGCGGAGCCCCCGGAAGCTCAGGGTTTTAGGCGTTTAATTACGGTCAGGCAAGCGCGTAGCTAGGATTTTATTTAAGGGGGGTCGGAGCACGCGATGCGTGCGAATCACTTACAGAGCGCGTTCCCTGGGGGGGGGGGGGGATGCAGGGAGGGGCGAGTTTCCCCTCCCTCATACGCGAAGCGCGGAAGCTTTGACGTTTCATTAAATCATTAAAGAAAGAAGACGATTTGTGTACCGTTCTGGACTCTTAATCCTTGTCTGAATTTCAAAATTGTTCTTTGTCTGCTCCTTTTTCTTCCTATGACCTTTTCCCTTTTCTCCTCTCTTTTTTCTTTGGGGGGGGGGGGACTTATTGTGACACTGGCAGATCACCAATTGTCGTGGAGTTCAGGGGGCGAGGCCCCCGGAAGCTCAAGGGTTTTAGGCATTAAATTAAATGAGTATCAAGGGGCCCGCCTTAAGGCCCTTGGTTGGGTCTAGGGGCAGAGCCCTCGGAAGCTCAGGGGTTTTAGGCGTTTAATTACCGTCAGATAAGCATTCAGGGGCCCGCCTTAGGGCCCTTGGTTTGGTTCAGGGGCAGAGCCCCCGGAGGCTCAGGGGTTTTAGGCGTTTTATTACGGTCAGGTTAGCAATGTTTGATACCTTATTATTTTGTGACATTTGCAGGACACTATTTGGCTTGGGGTATAGGGGGCGAAGCCCCAAGAATTACAGGGGTTTTAGGCATTAAATTACCGTCAGGTGAGCATTTAAGGGCCGACCTTTGGGCCCTAGGTGGAATCCAGAGGGTAGAGACCCCGAAAGTTCGGGGGGGGGGGTTAGGCATTTAATCACGGTCAGATGAGCATATTTTGATACCTCGTTTTTTTCTGTGACACTGGCAGTTCACTATTCTTTATTTCTTGCTCTCTTTAATATACTTTTTCAAAAAAGAGGGGGAGGGCGAGGGAGCTCGAGGCTCCCGATCCCGACCGTTCCGCGGGCCCCGACATGTAGGCATCTCAATAAGCATATTTTTCTTGCCTGACTGTAAATTTCGGAATATGTCATTTTCCAACAAACGCATAAAAAAGTATAATTTAATAAAAAGTGAGGAACAATCTCGGAAAATGATGTCATTTTAGCAACATTTGTAAGTCACCGTTATGGAATTAGAAATAACCCCCCCCCCCCCCCCGAACCACAACTTATTGGCAGGAAAACTGATATCCTCCTTCTTTTCTTTTCTTCTTCCTCTTTTATTTCCCTTCCCTTTATCTCCTCTTTTCCTTTCTTCCCTTCCCTTTCCTTCCTTCGCTCATATTTTTTTTTGATTGGGGGGGGGGGGGGGCGGGGAGGCAACAGCCTGGAAGGCAAGGCCATTTCGGTCCCCCCCCCCCCAATCTCCTTCTTCCCCCTTTTCTTGTCTTCTTCCTTTTCTTTCTTTCCCTTTCTCTCCTCTTTCCCTGTCCTTCTTTTCCTTTTCTCTCTCTCTCTCTCTCTCTCTCTCTCTTTATTTTTGCGGGGGGGGGGGGGGGGCGCTGCCCCCCTGGAACCGCGCCTGTGTTATAGAGCAACTTAACAATATAGGAATCTTCCGTTCTCCTAAATAATCCAACCCCGGGTCTTTGCAGACACACAAAACGTATTACTAAATTTGGAGCATGGTTTAATGGTGTTGGCACCAAGTTTAATGGTGTACAGGTAAGTTAGTTTGAGACTATAGCTTTTATATATACATATATATTTTATTAATGAGGTATATCTCTAATTAAATCGAACTGAGTGATGTTATGGAACAACTTTACAAAATCAATCATCCGTTCTCCTACACAATCCAGCCCCGGGTCTTTATAGGGCATACAAAATGTATTACTAAATTTGGAGCATGGTTTAACGGTGTTGGCACCAAGATTAGTGGCGATGGTTCGTCCGAGACTCATACAGCCTTTATACTGTTTTATTAATGAGATATATCTCGAATCAAATCAAACTGAGTGATGTTATGAAACAACTTAACAATATCAATCTTCTGTTCTCTTAAAAAATCCAAACCCGGGTCTTTATAGGGCACACAAAATGTTATACTAAATTTGGAGCATGGTTTAATGGTGTTGGCACCAATATTAGTGGCGATGGTTCGTTCGAGACTCATACAGCCTTTATACTGTTTTATTAATGAAATATACCTCGAATCAAATCAAACTGAGAGATGTTATGAAACAACTTAACAATATCAATCTTCTGTTCTCCTAAATAATCCAACCCCGGGTCATTATAGGGCACACAAAATGTATTACTAAATTTGGAGCATAGTTTAACGGTGTTGGCACCAAGATTAGTGGCGATCGTTCGTGTGAGACTCATACAGCCTTTATACTGTTTTATTAATGAGATAGATCTCGAATCAAATCAAACTGAGTGATGTTATGAAACAACGTAACAATATCAATCTTCTGTTCTCCTAAATAATCCAACCCCGGGTCATTATAGGGCACACAAAATGTATTACTAAATTTGGAGCATAGATTAACGGTGTTGGCACCAAGATTAGTGGCGATCGTTCGTGTGAGACTCATAGAGCCTTTATACTGTTTTATTAATGAGATATATCTCGAATCAAATCAAACTGAATGATGTTATGAAACAACAATATCAATCTTCCATTCTCCTAAAGAATCCAACCCTGCATGGGTCATTAGCATATAGGGCACAAAAAAGGTAGTACTAAATTTGGAGCATAGTTTAACGGTGTTGGCACCAAGATTAGTGGCGATCGTTCTTGGAGACTCATAGAGCCTTTATACTGTTTTATTAATGAAATATATCTCGAATCCAATCAAACTGAGTGATGTTATGAAACAACTTAATAATATCAATCTTCCATTCTCCTAAATAATCCAACCCCGGGTCATTATAGGACACACAAAATGTATTACTAAATTTGGAGCATAGATTAACGGTGTTGGCACCAAGATTAGTGGCGATCGTTCGTGTGAGACTCATACAGCCTTTATACTGTTTTATTAATGAGATAGATCTCGAATCAAATCAAACTGAGTGATGTTATGAAACATCTTAACAATATCAATCTTCCATTCTCCTAAATAATCCAACCCCGGGTCTTTATAGGGCACACAACATGTATTACTAAATTTGGAGCATAGATTAACGGTGTTGGCACCAAGATTAGTGGCGATCGTTCTTGGAGACTCATAGAGCCTTTATACTGTTTTATTAATGAAATATATCTCGAATCAAATCAAACTGAGAGATGTTATGAAACAACTTAACAATATCAATCTTCTGTTCTCCTAAATAATCCAACCCCGGGTCATTATAGGGCACACAAAATGTATTGCTAAATTTGGAGCATAGATTAACGGTGTTGGCACCAAGATTAGTGGCGATGGTTCGTGTGAGACTCATACAGCCTTTATACTGTTTTATTAATGAGATATATCTCGAATCAAATCAAACTGAGTGATGTTATGAAACAACTTAACAATATCAATCTTCTGTACTCCTAAATAATCCAACCCCGGGTCATTATAGGGCACACAAAATGTATTACTAAATTTGGAGCATAGTTTAACGGTGTTGGCACCAAGATTAGTGGCGATATGGTTCGTTCGAGACTCATACAGCCTTTATACTGTTTTATTAATGAGATATATCTCGAATCAAATCACACTGAGTGATGTTATTTAACAACTAAACAATAGGCCTACTAAATGTCCATTATCCTAAATAAACTATCATTACAAAACTAGCTAGATTAGGGAGTGTATAGCCGCTCCGAGGAACGTTTGCTATTTTCAATTCCCTGCTTGTACTTGGCTTCACGGAGTAATTCGTCCTTTATAATGATTCTCTTCATTCCGATCCGGAGCAATGTACACGACCGAATGCTTACGAACGTACTCATGTTCTGAATACATGTGTATATGACAGAGTACGCACGCCGCACGTCTGTGACGTAGGGAATAATGAATATTCATATCGCCGTTAATCTTGGTGCCAATATATGCTACCGAAAGTAACACAGGGTTTAGAATATCACCGCTATTGCGCGAAGATCAAAATGTCAATCTATAGGAAACGTATTCGGTGAGCTTCCGTTCGTCGTTCGTTTTCAACAGGCAAATAAAGATGGATTCTATCGAGTTACTGAATGATACAATGAAGAGGTGAGTACTGATAAAAATTTGATAGTTACAGTATGATAAGAAGCAAAATAAAAGGTGTCCTGCTCTCACAAACGCCAACGCGTCGACAATTTGTATGTTATGCCTCGGAGTTGACCTGACCTTGCCCACCCTCCGCCCGCTCCCCTGGCCGCCTGGTGTATGCCTGGCTGGTGGTGCATGCGAATGAGGCTGAGCTGAGCTGAGCTGAGCGGTATCGTCGGCGCAATGTTACTAGAGTCTACTACTAGATTGACTTTGAATGAACAATGTAAAAATTGGATCTACACCTTGAACTACACAGGGGGTTATGTGGCAATTTGTTCACAATCTGGTTAAAAGTTGAGCTAATCTGTCTATCTACTACTAATATTACTGTAGGCCTACTACTGGTACTGGTGGTAGTGCCTTGGGCTTGGTAGTACTAGACCTAGTGTAGTGGTAGCCTCCGACTCTGAGCTTCCGGCACACTACACCCTTATATGAGTAACGACGCGATGCACTGCAGTCTCTGAGTTTGAGTCTAACTGAGTAAAGGGGGTCACATGAGCAAGACGTATTCTCAGTGGAACAACCGTCAATTTAATTTATTAGAGACAGAAGCTTTTAAGTTTTTTAGTCTATATATGGAGATGATGATGATGATGATGATGATGATGGTTGCTACTGATGATGAACACAAGAAAGTGTAATGAGTTAAAGAATAAAAGTGTAAAGATATGCAGTCCACAATGGCACAGATACACACGTCCCTTGCCTGTAATTGTGAACATATTTGCTTACCAAAAATAATGCACAAGAAACTATAATATCCTGTAATAACTTGTAATATCTTGATTTACATAGCATCTTTGAATAATCTCTGATTTAGATCTAGACTTATATGGAATATTTTTTCATCCCAACTTTTCACAGACTTGCTGCTAAAGAAGACAGTGAGATAACAGCTGAAGGATGGCTCATCAAAGCAGTATCTGTTGGGGAAACTTTCTTGAAAGACCTTCTTTGTGCTAACAAACATAACAAGAGGATAGCCTTGCTACAGAAAAACAATAGACAAGTACGAACTTTAGTTACATGTAGCCATTACTCTCATATCATTTTATGATGTGGAAAGATTATTACCCATGTTTTTACACTATACAAAACAAACTCTATGAATTGCATGTAGCTAGTTATTTGGTCAGTGATTATAAACTCTAAACTTTGTAATATCTAAAGGCAATTGGAAAGACACTCTTAGTAAATGTAAGAGACTATGGATTACACTTTTCTCTTCCCCATGCTAGACTGAAGAAGTAGTAGAAGAATACATAATAGGAGCACTAATTATTATGAGCGCTCATGTACAAACCTGTATGAAAATAAGTGATTGCCATGGTAACCACCACCCACCCCAATTATTATTATTGTTTATGAAAGGGTATACAGTATATGCCAGCTGTGTGGTAAAAATATTTCAATAAATAAATTTTCTTCTTTCTTTTGTTTTTTAACAGAATGATACCTCACATCAAAATGGTGACATATCTTTAGAGTCTGATTTGGATGAATCTAAGGAAGAAAGCAAGGATGTCAGTTCATGTAGCTTACTGAATGGAGAGGATAAAGACAGTCATCTCTTGCCAGTGGAAGATGCAAGGTAAGAAGCTGCACTGAGTCAGAAAAGAAGAAAAAAATTGTTCACATGTATGTTCTGGATTCATGTCCAGAAATTGTATCTTTTTCATAAAAAAGAAACTTTTTATGAAGGACTCAATGCTATCAGGGAAATCAAGTGACATACATTCCCATTGTTTAGGCATACTATATCTAATTTGAAGTAGGATTGTAAAATCTACATGCAGTTCGCTCATTTTAACTTCAGTGGCTTGTATTTTCAAAGAGAATGTCCATCCGTTGATTCATGTGTATTACAAACAGGAACATTCTGACGATGTACACCATGCTGCATAGTCCCCTGGTACAGACCAACAACCAAGTAGACCCAGAGTCTCTCCTTCCACTATGGATCCTGTGTGATGGCAAGGATCCAGAAAGAACCAGTTTAATCGGCTGTGAACTGGCCCATACCGGTTCAGGTCAGGAGTCAGACAGCAGTCCATTCATCCTCACCACAGTCACATCTGATGGTAAGTTTAAAGATGTCATTATTACATTATTTTAGAGGAACAGTCATTTTGATTAGTAAACTTGATGAATGTATGTCTAATCTTGAAAACAGATTTTCTTGATGAACATGTTTTCAACGAATGCTCATACATGGATTTGTAGAAATATATAATTTTCTTCTCAGCAATGAATCAGATTTAGTAGTGCTATCTATCAATTGAGGTATCTTCTCCCAGCTTGGAGGTGGAATTGCTACATTTTCCAGTACATCTCTGTTTCCTGCCACCCTAGTACACTCTTGCAGTGTCATTCCACTCCATGTCTTAATGTTCCCCTACCAGTTTAATAGTTCTTGGTTTCCCTTTTGGTTTGGTACCTTCTACTCTTCTGTCAAATAAATGTTTCGAGAGACTCTGATGTCTTTTAAAATGGCCAAAGTATTTTGCCTTTCTTTCCATAACCATTCCTGTCGGGATGATTATTGCATCATTATAGCAAGAAGAATGTAAAGATTTCTAAATTTCAAAATAATTAATGCAGTTGTATCAGGATAAATCTTATAAACTTTTCCTACTACATAGTATTTTTGGTTACAAAGCATGAGCAGGGTAATGAATTCAAGTTTCTTATTCTGTAAATATTTTCTTTGTATACTTTACAGATCCCATTTCTAGCAAGGCAGATGTTCCAACTTTGCAGCAGGTTATTTTAGAGGCTCATGAAGACTTAGCATCTAAGGTATATCTATCTACTCTTTTTGCTAATAATAATAATAATATTCAGCTTTTGTATAGAGCTTAATACATCTCGGACATCTCTAAGCGCTTTACAAATATACTATTACCACGGTCATTGGATTCAGTGCTTGCCACTCCCTGGGGAGCATTCCAGCCAGGCATGACTTGACGCTCAAAAACTGTTTGACCAACAATCACGGTCGCATCCTATCAAGTACCAAATTTTAACACCTGGGTGGAGACTAGCAAGTATAGGTTAATATCTTGCCAAAAGATAATAGTGCTGTGTCGGAGTTTGAACCCTCGACCTTCGCATCTCCAGTCAAGTGCCTTAAAACACTCGACCACGACGCTCCCAATTTGTGTCCTTCTCTTTGAGCTCATGTGACTCATGCACAAATCAGTGCTAGTGGTCTTGTTTGCCTGTAGCAAATGACAAAAACTTCTTCAGTAAAGTGAGAATTAGTGAGGAATTCTTGAGATGTATTTCATGACTGTCTTATGTTTATATTTTATGGCTCTACCTCTGAGGTGCCAGAGGAATTATTGAATATTTGAAATGGCATGATTTGTTTTCCTATTATTTCCCCTAACAGTACATAGCAAGTCAAGGCTTTGCTCAGTTTGAAGTGGTCAGCCAGCTTAGTGCAGATACCACATTAGCTGAGACTCAGAGTAGTGATTCCTCCTACATAGCAGTAGAGTGTACATGGAACCAAGTCAAGAAGATACTGGAGAGCCCACGGGATGCTAGCTGTAAAGTGGTGAGAATATACTCCTATTTGTTATCTTATTTTACTGAGGTTTATGTCATATCTAGTTTAAATATTGATGTCATCTTTCATATGCATGCATTTCTCTAATCTCCCCCTTCTCCCACACTCTCTAAAGTTTTTTATCAAAGGTGTTAATGCTCCTCAACTACAAATATTTGCTTTGGTAGATCACATTCACAACTTTTGTTGTTTAAGCATACATTATTCAAATAAATTTCCAATTTAAAGCTATTATGTACAGGAGACAGAATGTGCCAGTCATTATTAAGTTTTCTTATCATTTAAAGAGCTAACGCTGTGTTTAGTTATATGTTTTGAAACTAATCATTTGACTTAGTGTGAACAATTTAATGAAAAAATACAGACCATAACAGCTACAACTGGACGGTTTTATTAAGATTGAAACTTTTACTACTTGATTCAAATCACATATAAAGATCTTTCTTTTTCCACACATGTTTATTCTCACAGCTGATACGTGCTGTGCCAGGTGACATGAGAAACACCCCTTTAGAAGTCTACAAAGAACTATGCTTATTAAAGGTATGATTTATGTTTGTTGCTCTGTCTACCATCCCAGCTCAAATTAAAGTTGCAGTAGAAAGACTTAACACCAGTGGCATTTTTCTTCCAAGAAACAAAATACTTAATGTACCCGGTATACGACTGCGTGTAACTTACTTTAGTTGCTATATTTGTATGTACTGGGGATAAGATAATATTTTTGTTGTTCAATAGTGAACTATTAAAAAAAGCAATTTCTGTAGATTTGTGGCCATGATTTGTACGTCCCGTGAGAGACCAATGCCAGTAAATGGTGAGAGAAAACAGTGGCATGAACAGCCTGCCATAGCTAAGTCTTGTGAAACACTCCCCTGGTGTTGACATATATTGCTTGTCTTTTTCATGTAGACATTTGCTGACAGCTTAGAAACAGGAGAAGTGAACTGGATAACACGAGAGAAGACGAGCTCAATTCAAGATCTTGTAACAACCTTCTTGGATGAGATCAAAGGTGGACCCATTTATAAGGTAACGTTCATTCAGAGAAGAATTTTAAATGAGTCACCAAGGATATTTGTGACTCACCAAATATCCTTTGGTATAGCATGGCAACTGTAACACTTCTGGGCCCCATTTCACAAAACTTGTCATCAGTGACAAATGACAGTTTTTGTTTATATATGCTAGTGAAATCCTTGCTTGTGATTGGTTATCAGCAGATTTGTCACCGACTTTTGTCATTTGTCATTGAAAAAAGGCTTTGAGAAAGGGGTCGCTGATCTTTAAGAAACAGATGATTCTAGTATTAAGAAAAAAGGCTTTCTTATTGATGTCATCCACAAAAGCAATTGGTTATATTGATTCCATTACAGAATCAAAGATTTCAAAATAGAAAGTATTACACATGGCAAAGTTGGTGCCCATAAACAGAATCAATGCTGTTTGAATTTTCATACAAATACAATGGAACATAATATGACTATGATTTCATTAGCATTACTTTTAATAAGTTAGAATGCTAGTCCATTCCAAATTGTTGTTGGATACATCAATTTTGTCAATTTCAGGTACAAGTAACCATCTCTTCTGTGCAAAATGACTTCAGTTATGATTCTTCACACAAGTTTGTGTGTGTATAAACATTACAGGAACCAGCTACCATTTCAAACATGGCAATATTTTCATTTTAATCAATTTCTTTTCTTTTTATTTTAATAATTTAGAGAAAGACTGGAGACGACGCTGATGATTTGGATGCCCAGCTTTGTTGGAAGGCAGCGTTTGATAGAAGCGATTTAGACTTCACTGAACGGCTCTGGAATATCCTCCGGAATAATGCAACATGTTATGAAGATATCACTACAGCCTTCAGCATGGTGATCAATGAACTTAACAGAGGACAGATACAGCCAATGGTGAGTGTAAAAACCATTTATTTTATGTTTTACAGTTCCTTCTGAATATGTTCACCCTTTTTACACAAATTTAATAAAGCAGGTGTTTTTGATGAAGCAGAAACAAATTCTCTGTTTTTGTTGTGTTTTGCTTTGTGCTGTGTTTTCTTGTTTTGTTTTAATTTGGTTTATGTTATATTATCTTTTGTTTATTGTTTAGGATATGCATGAAACAAAACATTTCTTCTCAGAAAGTGTTGTCACAGGTTTGTAAAACTGGGATGCGGAGGGAAGGAGCAATATGAAATCTGAGGGTTAAAAACTTTCCACTCAAATAATCTGATGATGATCGTGATCGATGTTTGTTGACTGCTAAGAAAGCATGTATATGCTTGTAAGTAAACAATCAGGGAACCGACAGCTTAAAGTCCTCTTCGAGGGACTTGGTAATGATGATTAATGCCTTACCAAAGGCCACAAGCGCATTTACTTGATTTTGAATCTGGAACCTCTCCAGAGACCACTGCTCTACCAAAGGATAATAATGTTTCAGATTTTTATTTCTTTTCACCCATGATAGTATGAAATTGTTAAAGAACTTTGTTTGTTTATTCTCTATTTCGTATCAGGTTCACAGAAGTAATCAGACTACATTAGCCCAAGAGCTCCGGATGTTGTACGAAGACCCAGCCCATATGTTCAGTCTAAATCATTCTCCAATGACTCACCTTGTGGAGATAGCCATTGATAAGATTCAGAGAGACTATACAAACTTCTTCTTAGGTAGGTCTATCATGAATATATAAGTGTTGTAGACCTGGGCCCCGTCTTAGAAAGAGTTGCAATTGATCCTAATCAATCCCAAGTCCTCCAATCAATCACAAGTTTGCAATCCCCTATCTCTTATGTACATAGTCAAGATCGATGTCAATCCCAAATAAGTTGCGATTGATATCAACGCTTTGGGCCCATAACACAAAGCTTACTAATTGATCAATGGATTGTACATAGTGATCAATTGCAAATAGCAATCAGGCGCCTTAAAAAAAATCTTTGTGATTAAATACAGCATCCTGATTTTTTTCAAAGGTTTTATAGATGGTAGAAGAAGCTCATAGCACACAATGTATATTCCCAAATGGGTTAGGAACGTATAATGGTATGGTTATTATTATTAGTATTTTATTTGGCAATAAAGAAAATACAGAAGTCAGAAAACAGACAATGGAGAACTTGAGAATTGAGAATACAACCGCTGGAACACAAGGGACAGAAAAGGTTAACCTAATAACTGTGGCAAAATGCTTTTTGTCCCAGATCCAGTGGTTTAAAAATTAAGTTCTTTTCATAAATGATCAATAATAAAAAAATATATATATATTTATCTTTACTTTAGTTTGGTTTCAAGGTGAAATAACAAAAATACTTGAATTATCTTATTTGTATCAATTTTAAGTTGATCATATAAATTGATTTAAATCTGGTTAGTATTTCTTGGAAATGAATGAAAATTAATATTGGAAATTGTATAAATCTCTTTGTTTGTATTTATATTACTGTGATTGTTTCAAGATTTAGATATGTATAAAGAGTGGAATGGTCATGGGGAAAAAAGGGATGAGTATTAAAAAAAAAAGGGAATAGCTGGACGAATACTATAAAATATTTCCATTTTCTCCCTGCAGCCAAGAAGTTGACCACCCTGTATTCCCTGGAATGGTTCGTCCAATCAGTTGACCTCTTGACCCCGGGTGAGCTGGTCAAGAGGTTACGGAGTCTACATTGTATCTTGGAGGTTTCCATGCTAGCATCTCAATCCTTGGGTCTTCCTACCAACAATATACTCACACTCATCAGGTAATTAGCTAGGTCCCGTGGTTGTAAATGTCACTGATATGTTGATTCCTCTTTAACATTTGTCAAGTGCAAGTATTTAATATACCAAAATGAGTCCAAACTGATATAGGAAGTACCGGTACTTAAATTTCAGTTAGACAACGATGATGGCAAAGAAATGCCTGAAATTATCTTTCAGCAGTTTCCATTGCATTGCATGGACGATATGAACTATTCTGTTTATCTGGACTTTCCTACATCAAATAATAATAATAATAATAATAATAATACACAACATTTATTATGTGCTTAATACAGGTGTCTCTAAGCGCACCATTGTCTGACTGAAAATTATTAACCAAAACTTATAATAAACACGCAAATTATAAATCTGTTCTTTATTCAATAAATCATGCATATATAATAATAAAAATAGAAATGAGATCAAACATACATAAGGTCAAACATAAGATCAAACAAACAAGGAATAAGACAGTGTGCACCTCCTTTGACCGACTCACAACTGCTGAATATCATTCATGAATTAAAAAGGTGCGTTTTCAGCAAGGACTTAAATTGGTCAAGAGAATGAATATTATGAATATGCACAGGTAATTTATTCCAAAGGATAGGTGCATTTACTGAGAAAGCTTGATCACCATATTTTGTAACAGTTCATCTATGCATGTCCTTTGCAGAAAAAATTATATTATTGAAGCCTTTGATCAGTCGGACTGTTTAACAGAAACTGGTGAAGGGAAACAATAGATATGTTCATTTGTTTGCAGGTTCCCTTTAATAAATGGGTTTTTCAAGGGATAACCATCAAGCTAGCTTTGTAATTACATGTGCTTCATATATGTATACAGAGACGGTCTTCCAGGTTCTTGCTTCTTGCTTAGGAAACATCCGACTGCATTTTGTTGAGAAAATTTGCGTAATTTTGCTTAATAATACTCCTGCCACCAAAACAACAAGCAAGAATTGATAACTAATTTCACCTAAGAATGCAATATACTCTTTGCCCCCTTCATCTCATTATTAATATACTGCTTATTTTGTTATATTATGATCATTTAGGAATGCCCTGGACTACTATCGGAATAACTCTCCTGATGTTCAGCATACATTTGTACTTCCTGTGGAGCAGACCAGTGTTGTCAGCTTGTACCAAAAGTAAGTAGAACGTTCATTTAAACTCATCATGAAATATATCATAATTGAGAACATGGGGTAGGAAAAATGGAAAAAGGCCTTCATCAATGTACTGTAGTATTATTAGTGAAGGCTCCTTACTGTAGAACATGAGGTTCCCAGTTTGATCCGTTGGTTGGTGTGTACATCTGTGGACACAGTGTTTAGTGTTATACCCAAATGTACCCCTCTCTATGTAATAGGGTGATGATAATTGCAGTATTAATACTGATGCAGTTACCCAGGGCAAATAAAACCAAATTATACATTATGATCATTTGCAGGCATACTGCAGATTCTTGATAAATTTCTCTTTAGAATTAGATGAGAAAAAACAAGTACCACAGTATGTAGAGAAAGGATAATGTATTCACTTAGAAGTACAAACTTCATGAACCATGCTTTCTTCATAGTAGCTGTAGAGTGGTGCTTGCGTCAGGAATGAATCTCATTTTGCCAAGAGACTGATGAAAAGACAATTTAAACTGATCTGAAACTTATTCTGGATAATGTGGCATATTATATATCTCACTTCCCAAACACCATTAAAAGAATAAATGTATGAAGTTCCACGAAAAAAAGGAATACTGCCCTCTCCAGGAGAATCATTGTAAGGAAAATCATATTGAAGGAATGAAGTGAGCATGCCATTAATTTGATTTTTATAAATAAATAAATAAATAAATAAAATATAGAAATTATGAGGCAAAAAAATTGCGAAATTTTAAAGAGGACAGATTACAAACATATATTTTGTTTTGTATGTTTAGGGTTTCATACCTGTATATTGTATATCAGTTTCAAAAAATACTTCTGTAAACAGATACCTAAGTTAGAATACAGGAAAACAAAAAAGCAGTGTGTGAGTAAACACAGTTCAATTGGAGTAACATTTATGAAAGCCTTGATATGAAATGAATTTTATTGTGATCAAATTTAATGCTAACTAATTGAACATGTCATTTATTGGGGATGATTTGACATTGAATGTCTCCACCAATATACAACTTTTTTTTTGTGTGTGTGATTGGTCCACTTAAAAGTGAGATTCATTCATTTTTATTGGCATTTTTTCATAGAATGGTTTATGTATGAATGAGATGTCGGGTGTACTGTGATTGACCTGCATGTAAAAGGTAAAAGGTAAGGTAGGGTAGGCTGATGGTGAAAAAATTATGATCATCTTCAAATATTCATTTAAATATAGACATCTGTTACACATTTATGCATATCAAACATGTAAGGACTGGTGGCATATATAGGTATAAACATACATGTACATGTACATTTGTATTCCTTTTGGAACCTTTGTTGCAGTATGGCTCTGTATTGGTGCTTATTTCAATGAAAATTCCCGATAGCAAATTCCTTATTATCACACAAGCAGAGGTGCCAAGTAGTACCGATTTACCATATTCCGTACGGAAATCAACTTAAAAATACGGACGTACGTTTTTTCATGTTAAAATACGAAAGAAAAAAAAGGGATTTTTTTTTTTGCCGACTCTTTCGGCAGCAAGCCAGGTCTGCGTTAAAAAAAAACCCACGCGGGAAGGACTTTCATTTAACTGCGAGGTGCAGTTAAATGTGTAAGATCATTAATGTAAAATAAAAAGAAACAGTAAAGGACCTAGGATAGAACCTTGTGGTACGCCATGTGTAATAGAAGAAAAATTGGAGGAATTGTTATTTTAAACTTCATATTGAGATCTACCAGAAAGATTACTTTCAATCCAAGATGACAGACAAATTTGAGTGTTGTTCTAGTTTCTGAGTGGCGAGTCAACACACCGATTACTGAGCTGGGAGACATTGCCAGGCATAGCGCCAAGTGGAGGGGCATAAATCGAAACTTTAATTTTTTTTTTGTACCTGTGTATAAGACGCACCCCGACTTTGAATATTTTCGGCGGCAAAAAAAGTGCGTCTTTTACATGGAGATTAACGGTAGTGTAGATCTAGTACAACACAATTGTTTACATGTGGGACGGAAATGTAATAAGTGATCAAACATTGCCGATATGCATGCATATTTTTTTCGAGGGAAAAAATGCTGATTTGGGGGGATAAGAATACTGAAAATGCAAAATACAACTTGGCAGCTCTGCACAAGGCCTCCATTCCCACCAGACTTACGTTCACCAATGTTGATTGATGTCCTGTCAAAGGATGGTGGTACCAAGGGGGTTAGACCAGGGCCTGGTGATCTATGGTTCATTTGTTTATTCGCTGTCATCTTGTGTGTATGACTGCATGTTAAATTGCTGTTAAGATGTAAATGGACTTACAGAATTGATGGATAATTCACTTGAAGATTTATTCCTTCATTTGCTGTCATTTTCTGAGTATGAATCCACGTTAAATTGCTGTTAGGATGTAAATAGAATTGCTGAATTGATGGAAAAGTTACTTGAAGATTTATTCCTTCATTTGCCGTCATTTTCTGAGTATGAATCCACGTTAAATTGCTGTTAGGATGTAAATAGAATTGCTGAATTGCTGGAAAAGTTACTTGAAGATTTATTCCTTCATTTGCCATCATTTTATGAGTATGAATCCATGTTAAATTGCTTCAAGGATGTAAAGAGAACTGCAGAATTGATGGACAAGCTACTTGAAGATGAAAGTTAGAAATATCATTGATAATTGAACTCTTATAGAGCGATAGAAATAGATGTTTGCATTTCAAAATTATGTGTGGATATGTGGAGATAAAAGAACCAGCCTAGGAAGAAAACATTATTGTAAATTTCATACATTTATCATTCACCTCTTCTCTACCATCACGTTTATGAGCAATTATGATAAACCAACTTTCAAGAGACATTTCGAGTTTGAATACTTTGTATGATTGCTATATTTTTAAGAGGCTATTTTGTATTTGTATAAACTGCACAATGCATTGCCCAGTTAAAATAACCAAAACTAGCCTTTCTTTGGTCAGCAGTACATCTCTTGCACAGATTTTGCTGCCCGCGCATGGAGGGGCTAAACATGTTAACCACTTGAAAGTATGCAAAGACACTCTCTGTATAGACATGTACTCAAAAGCATGATATAACATATATAAGATTTATAATGTAACCTTTAACTATATACAGGGCTCAAATTAATTTTTTGTCCACGGGGGCTCTTCCAAAATAAAATTTTTAGTACTGACGGGGGCTTTTTTATTAATAAAATTTTCCATTGAATTGGGGGTACCCATAAAACTCCTAAATTATTTGCTTTTTCATCATTATCATGAATAGTCGGCATTATTTTCCTCTTACAACTTTACAAGTTATAACATGCAGCTAATGGTCAGATCTCTTCCCTTTGTACGAAATTTCTGGTCCAAGCCCGTATACATTTGCCTCCTTGCCAACAGGTCTCCTTTTACTAATTTTAGCTTTCGGTTGATTTACTGGTCGAGGTTCATTATTTGCTGGTGTTTTGGAATTAGATTTCTGAGGATTAACGATTTTCACAACAAAAACCTTCTCCACGTTTCGGTCCTTGCGCGATCGCCTCTAGCTCCAGCAAATATGGGGTGACATGCGTGCACACCAGTATACTACCGGCGCAGCCAGTATAGCCACTCTGCTGACGACCGCAGTGCACTGCGATCTTCCGTTGTTTGTTTGTATCCGTAATACCCATAGAGATGTGGAGATGGGAGATAATATATATAATAGCGCAATCTTGCGGCGAAAAGGCGTTTATTCCTTCACAATATGGCAGCCTCTAGACACCGAAGAATTCGAGCGAGAAATCCTGCACGCTATTAAAATGTTACTTCCATACTTCCATTTCATTGGTTTAAGGTTTGAAACTTGAAACTCAACATTGTGTGAAAGTTATAACAGAAAGGATCATCTTTATTTTATATTTGTTATTTATATTCCACGGGGGCGATTTTTAATTTTGCAATCGCCCCCGTGAGCACTCTGATGGAGGCGATTGTGTAGCTCACGGGGGCAAATCGCCCATCGCCCTCGTGTATTTTGAGCGCTGACTATATATATGTAAGACAAATACATTCTCGGCATTGTTGGTTAGCTGAAAAATATTAAGATCTTGATTTTATTCCTATAGGTTTGCACATAAATCTTAAAGAAAAATTAATTTTCAGTAGCAAATTGATATTGGTATGTAATTATATGATTTTGAATGGCCTTACTCGGGATATATCCCATGAGTATATGAGCAAATTTCATGAGTCGGCACGACGAGTAAAATATTTGTAAGATTACATCCATATATATCCATTGTCCTTATTTTTTACACGTTCACAAACCCTGAACTATGAGATATAGAAAAATACTGGAAATCATCTGGGTACTTTTTTCACAAACGACGAGATATGGTTTTAAAAATTGCTCGGTCATGCAGGTACTTTTGCGCAAAGTGTAAGAATTTTTTGTTGGCTTAAAACCCTTCATACCAATAATATTGATATTTACATTTGAACATATCTGCAAAGGAAAATGAAAGTATTTCCATTCACCCTGGTAGATATGGAGGAAACTTTAAATAAATTGATACTAGTACACTACTGATATACCCCTACATAGGAAATAGTTATAAATTATATCAGAATTTGATATGAAACAAAAGTTTGTCGCTATAAGATTCCATCCCCGTGCTCTTAAACTTGTACTTCTGCCTTTAAGCTGTGACTGAGGGAGAACATTATCAGTGAAGTAGGCCTCTTCTCCCTCTTCACCTTGTTCATGGAATACTGATTTCTAGTCTTATTAATTCCTTACCACTGATTTGCTCAAGCCTCAAGGTTACTCACATTAGAGGCAGCTGGATGCAGCATCATTCTGTGTCTTTCTTTCATGCTGCATCTTTGAGATTACCCCCCCCCCCCCCCCCCCCCGTTGTACCCCCTCTTCGGATTGCATGGCTGCACAAACAACACAACACACATTCATTTTCAAAATATTCTGAACGTGCCCTTCAAAGGTCCCCTATGCAATGAAATTTGTGATCGT